TTTGTGATGGCTTGGCAGCCTTCTGACCAGCCGTGCCAATGGGGAAACCCGATTCACTTAACGACCGTGTCATTGATTTAATCGCCTCAGTGATTCCCTTAACGATGGTGGCAAGAAAGGGGTGTGAAATGGGGGCAAAAATTCCCGTGGCGACTGCCTCGCTCCGCGAGAGGAATTGGCACGGTGGTCGTAAGTCGAGGACTACCTGAATGCCAATGCTTCTCTTCCTCCCATATGCCCGCTTCCAATCCGTGGCCTGTTTCTGCCGCGCTCGTCTGCCTCCGCTGCCCTCCCGTTTCTCTCTCATGCAGGTGGTTCAGAGAGTCTGCCCGCTGGTATGCCACGGTGGGCAAACTTGACCAGGCGCTGAAAGAGCTGCAGAAAGTTGCTCAGATGAACGGGAAAAAGGATTGCCAGGAGAAGCTCAGCCTTGAGGTATGAAATCCGGAAAGCAACGTGGCTGCGTTGTTTTCTTGGCAGGCAGGAGGGGAATGCCATTCCTTCCTTCCTTCCTTCCTTCCTTCCTTCCTTCCTTCCTTCCTTCCTTTTTCCCTTCCTCCCTTCCTCCCTTTCTCCCTGCCTTCCTTCCTTCTTTTCCTTCCTTTTTTCCTTCCTTCCTTCCTTCCTTCCTTCCTTCCTTCCTTCCCTCTTACTTTCCTTCATTCATTCTGTCTTTTCTTCCTTCCTCCCTCCCTCCCTCCCTTCTTTCCTTCATTCATCGAATTTTCTTCCTCCCTCCCTCCTTTCCTTCCTTCTTTCTCTCTTTTCTTCCCCCCTCCCTTGCTCCTTCCTTCTTTCCTCCCTCCCTCCTCTCTTTTCCTCCTTCCCTCCCTTTCTTCATATGGTCCTCCCCTTTCCTTTCTTCCTTTCTTTTCCTTTCTTTTCCCTTCCCTTCCTCTCTCTCCTTTACTCTCTTCCCTCCCATTCTTACTCCCTTCCTTCCCTCTCATTCTCAAATTTCCACCTTTAATGTTTTTTTAAAAAATAACTCAAGGTGATGAACATATCCAATACTCCTTCCTTCTGTTATTTGCCTCACAACAACAACCCTGTGAAGTGGACTGGGCCGAGAGAGAGAGGGGGGCACCGGCCCATAGTCACCCAGATGGCTTTCATGCCTAAAACGGGACTGGAATTCTCTGGTTTCTACCTGTTGCCTTCACCACGAGACCAAACTGTCTGTCTGTCTGTCTGTCTGTCTGTCTGTCTGTCTGTCTGTCTCTCCCTCCCTCCCTCCCTTTCTTTCCTCCCTTCCTTTCCTTCCTTCCTCCCCTTCCCTTCCTTTCCTTCCTTCCTCCCCTCCCCTTCCTTCCCTTCCTTTCCTCCCCTTCCCTTCTTTCCTTCCCTTTCTTTCCTCCCTTCCTTTCCTTCCTTCCTTCCTTCCCTTCCTTTCCTTCCTTCCTCCCCTCCCCTTCCTTCCCTTCCTTTCCTCCCCTTCCTTTCTTTCCTTCCCTTTCTTTCCTCCCTTTCTTTCCTCCCTTCCTTCCCTTCCTTTCCGCTCTTCCTTTCCTTTCCTCCCCTTCCCTTCTTTCCTTCCCTTCCTTTCCTCCCTCCCTTTCCTCCCCTCCCCTTCCCTTCCTTCCTTTCTTCCTTTCCTCCCCTTCCCTTCTTTCCTTCCCTTCCTTCCCTTCCTTTCTTCCTTTCCTCCCTTCCCTTCCTTCCTTTCTTCCTTTCCTCCCCTTCTCTTCCCTTCCCTTCCCTTCCCTTCCCTGGTGTTTCAGTTCTAGAAAAGAAATTCACCATTAGATGAAGCTCTGCATTATGAGTTACACAGGCATCTGTGCTATGAAATGCTGCCCTTTTTTCCATGCCGGAAGTTCCAAGCACCCGGCAGTCGGCAGCCTATCAAAATGAGCCCATCGACTGTTTAATCTTTGCAAATTCCGGCAAAGAATCTTTGCCGGGCTCAAAACAGCCTTTTCTTTTTTTCGGCCTGTTTTTCCCAGGCTTTGAAAGCCAGTCTCCAGACAGATAATTCCTCAGCCAACAACGCCAAGTTCCCGGTGGCTGATTTGGTACGCACGACATCTCTGCGCCGAATCACCGTGTGCCTTTGCTTCGTCTGGTAAGCCAAGCGGAAGGAAGGAAGATGCCCCCAAAAGAGAAATAGGGGAAAAGCAAAGCAAAGGTTGAATTTCACTTTGCTTTGTGAATATTGATAGTCCTCAACTTACGGACTGCACTTGGGATCAGAATATCTGCTGCTAAGCAAGGCAGGTGTTAAGCCCAATTTTACTTTTTTTTTTTGCCCTGGTTGTTAAGTGAATCGCCACCATTGTTAAGTGAACTACATGGTCATTAAGTGAATCTGGCTTCCCCCGGGCTTGCTGGGAAGGTTGCAGATGGTGGACGCTGCAATCGTTGTACATTCATGCTGGTTGCCGACAGACCCGAATTTTTTGATTCCCATGATCGTCCTGATGCTACAGAAGGTCATAAGGATGAGAATTGGTTGCGAGCTACTTTTTTCAGTGCTGTTGTGATTTTGAGGGGGGTCAATAAATGGAAAGTTTGTAAGTCGAGGACAGCCTGTAAGAATTTTCCCGGAGTTCCTTTCCTTACAGGGAATTTCAAAAGCTGAATCTCTTTGCTTCAATTTCAGGAGAAGAGGAGAAATATTTTCCCCACAACAACAACCCAGTGAGGCGGGTTGGACTGGAAAAGAGGGGCTGGCCCAAAGTCACCCAGCTGGCTTTCATGCCTAGGGCACAACTAGAACTCACAATCTCCTAGTGCTCAGCTCCTAGTGCTCAGTCCTAAGGCAGGACTAGAACTCACAATCTCCTAGGGCTCAGCCCAAAGTCACCCAGTTGGCTTTCATGCCTAAGGCACAACTAGAACTCACAATCTCCTAGGGCTCGGTTCAAAGTCACCCAGTTGGCTTTCATGCCTAAAGCAGGACTAATCATCACCAGAGTCATTTTAATTTCATTAATCCATTGGCCGCTCCAGGTTCTCCACCAGCTTTGCCTATTATGGTCTGGCGATGGACCTGCAGAATTTTGGCGTCAGCGTCTACCTTATCCAGGTGATATTCGGTGCGGTAGACATTCCTGCAAAGTTGGTGGCTTTCCTTGTGATCTCCTATTCCGGCCGTCGGATCGCTCAGGCGTTGAGCCTCATCTTAGCTGGGCTGTCCATCGGCGCAAACATCTTTGTGTCTCATGGTAAGTTTCCAGGAACGGACTGGCGAATAATTTTATTTCTGCAAAGCAAAATTATGTTGCGGTTGAGTTTTATCTTCACAACAACCCTGCAAGGTAGGACAGGCGGAGGAGTCGCCGGCCTGTACTTGCCTGGTGAGGTTTTGATAATATGTGCTTAGTTCTAATCACTATTTCTGAATCAATCAAACATTGAAGGCTGCCAATGGCCTGGAATTATTGCGGCAAATATCCCAGCACGATTCACACACAGCTTCTTAGCCTGAAAACTAAGTCATGAAATCACAAGATAATTCTGGCAAAAATATGAAAGCTTGCAACACCCTTGAAGGCCAGCAGAGGGCAGCTAAGGGACAGAGAAAAACTGGGTTTTGCTGCCATCTAGTGTCTGTTTATGCATTTGCACAACCAAAACCTGAAAACTGTTAATATCAGGGGTGTCCAACCTTGTCAACTTTAAGACTTGTGAACTTCAACTCCCAGAATCCACAAATTTTGAAGTTACCAAGGTTGGACACCTGATGTTAATCTGCATTTGTTTCAAACCACTGGTTTATTTTAGCCAATGTTTCTTGTTCAACTGTTAAGTAGTTGCGACGGTAACTCTGGGCAGCTAACATAGGATTAAAATTCAGCATGGTATTTTCTGGATGTGTGTCCAAAACAAGAAGACATATTCTGGCTGTATGGGATGTGCTGATTAACCCATAGGACTTTCCAAAGTAATATAACTACTAAGTAATATAACTAGGGTCCTGAACTAGAACTCGCCTCCTCCCAGTTTCTAATCCGGCACCTTCACCAATAAACCGAAGTCACGTCACAGCAACACCCAGTGGTTTTCTGATCTTCTCTAGATATGCAGATTCTGAGGACCGTCTTTGCTGTCTTCGGGAAAGGATGTCTAGGCGCATCTTTCAACTGTGTCTTCTTATACACCGGAGAGCTCTATCCTACAGTGATCAGGTACCACTCAGCAATATTCTGGGATAATGTTAAAAACAGCCCACCAAGGTCTATTTATTTGCCTGTGAAAACATGGGAGGATGACTTTTGTGGCAGCATAACCATGGAATTAAAGAGAGGTGAATCTCAGAATAACAGAATACAGGAAGTCCTCAGCTTATGACCACCGTTGAGCGCAAAATTTATGTTGTTCAGTGAGACATTTATTAAGGGAGGTTTTGCACCGTTTTGTACAACTTTTCTTGCCACGTTGGGTAAGTGAATCACACATCATCCTCATTTAACGACCCCGTTATCCCTTGCGGGGTGGAGTCTGGGCAAGTGAATGGAGCTACCAGAGCGTTTAATGGCCGGATGCCTTTCCTGTTGCCAATGAGGAGTTTCGTTCGGCAGATATATTCTCATTGTGCCCAGAGGGAGAAATATCTGCCTCTACCTAGGATTGAACTCGCAGCCTCCTGATTGTGAGACGAGAGCTCCGCCTCTAGGCCACTGCGCCACTCTGTTCAGTGAATCACTGCAGCTGTTAAATTACTGACATGGTTGTTAAGTGAATCGAGCTTTCCCGTTAACTTGGCTTGTCCGAAACTCACAAAAGCTGATCACGGTGACTCCTGGACACCACAACCGTCATAAGCGCGAGTCGGTTGTCAAGCGTCCGAACATAAATCATGTGACCATGGGGATGCTGCAAGGAAGGTCATGTATGGGTCGCTTAACGACCGTACCGCTTAACAACGGATTTTCCAACTCTCCATTGTGGCTGTAAGCCTAGGGCTAACTGTGTGCTATAACTCCCAAGTGCCCAGGCCAGGTGCAAGGAATATTGGGAGTTGTAGATAGACCACACCCAGGGAACTGAGTTGCCCCTACCCTGGTGAATGATGAGCCTAAGTAAAACTGAATTCTTCCCTCTGTTGCGTATCAGGCAAACCGGGATGGGCTTTGGAAACACCATGGCACGTGTCGGAGGGATCGTGGCCCCTCTGGTGAGGATGACCGGCGAGTATCTTCCATCCCTTCCCCTGGTCATCTACGCCACGGCCCCCATCATCTCTGGGATGGCTGCCTGTTTCCTGCCCGAGACTTTAAATGTGCCGCTACCAGATACCATAGAAGATGTGGAGACCAGGTCAGTTGTGATAGGGACTTGCTGGTCCTTGTTTGTTGGGCACTTAATTGCCTCTTGAAAATTCTTTCTAGATCGGGGTGGTGGGGGGGAGGGGAAAGGGGAAGGATCTGTTTTAGGAGACAGTTGACATCAAGCGAATCAAAAGGCACGTTTTTGAATTAATAAGCCAGGATGCATCAACGTTTCTTAACCCTGGCAACTTTATTTCGATGTTTCTTTGGTGAGCGTTTTCAAAAAGTGGTTTGCCATTGCTTCCTTCCTCGGGCTGACAGCAAGTGACTGGCCCAGGGTCACCCAGCTGGCCTTGTGCCTAAGGCAAGACTTTAACTCCCCATCTCCTGGTGATTGGCCCAAAGTCACATAGCTCAGGGGTCTTGGCAACTTTAAGCCTGGTGGACTTCAACTCCCAGAATTCCCTAGCCAGCAAAGTTGGCTGGGGGAACTCTGGGAGTTGAAGTCTGCCAGGCTTAAAGTTGTCAAGGTTGGAGACCCCTGACATAGCTGGCTTTCCTGCCTAAAGCGGGACTAGAACTCCCTGGCTCCTGGTGATTGGCCCAAAGCTACCCAGTTGGCTTTCCTGCCTAAGGTGGGACTAGAACTCATCACATCCCGATGATTGGCCCTAAGTCACCCAGCTGGCTTTCATGCCTAAGGCTAAACTAGAACTCCCCATCTCCTGGTGATTGGCCTAAAGTCACCCAGTCAGTATTTATGTCTAAGGCAGCACTAGAACTCACAGTCTTCTGGTTTCCAGCCTAGTGTCTTGACCACTGCAACAAACTACCTTTCAATATTTTGTGTTACTTTGCCTTAAACTGCCCCCGCTCTGCCTTTAAATTCTTCTTCCTCTTTTAAAATTGTCCTGTCTTAGGAACACGGAGGAAGAAAAGCGAGAAAACGCCAGAAAAGACCAAGTTTGTCATCCAGGCGCAGTTCTGCTGGATATGACGGAAATCCAAGAGACAGAAAAAGACTCCAGGCTACCAGAAAACCTGCGAAACACAGAAGGAATTAAAACGGAAGTTTGCTCTGACATCCCCAAAGGAGCCATCACGATTTCCAATGCATTATGATAATGTTATTAAACTCAGAAATAGCTCCTTTAAAAAAAACCAAAAAAACATCTTGCTTTCTTACAGCATATCCAAGTGGAGGCATTTCCTAAGTAGAAAATTCTAAATAACCAAGATTAACCCAGAGATTGGTTTTGAAATCTGTCTGCAACTGAACAGATTTTTTATTTTATCATCAATTGGTTCCTCTTCCTTGCTGGGGAGGGCAAAAGTTGAAAAAGAAAAGTTTGTTTGTTTGTTGCCTGCATTGTTTTTACAAAGAATTCAAGGTGGCCAACATATCCAACACAGCTTTCTCCTCCTGTTTTCCCCACAAAACAACAACCCAGTGAGGTGGGTTAGGCTCAGAGAGAGGGACTGGCCCAAAGTCACCCAGCTGGCTTTCATGCCTAAGGCGGGATTAGAACTCACCACCTCCTGGTGATTGGCCCTAAATTATCAAACTGGCTTTTGTACCGAAGGCAGGACTAGAACTCCCAGTCTCCTGGTGATTGGCCCAAAGTCACTCATTCAGTTTCCATGCCTAGAATTCACCGTCTCCTGGTGATTTGCCCAAAGTTACCCAGCCGGCTTTCATGCCTAAGGCAGGACTAGAATTCACTGTCTCCTGGTTTCTAGCCTGGTGCCTTAACTAGTAGACTAAACTGGGTCTCACTGACAGTATAATTATAGTCAGCTGGGAAATGGCACCTATCAATCCAAATTAAACACTGAAACGAAAAAGCACTTTAATTTGAAAATACCCAAGTGATTGGGTTCTGTAATACACAACGCCCCCAAAATAGACAACTATTCAGTTTAAAGCAACCATTTGTTTCTCACAACATCTTGAGATGACAACCTCCAATTCTACTGGATTGACATGTGCAGATAATCCTTGACCTACGGTCATTCATTAAACAACTGTTTGAAGTTTATAATGACACTCAAAAAAAGAGACTTCCATCCAATTGCTTCTCATACTTACGACTTGCGGCCTCTCCACAGTCACGTGATCAAAAAATTCATGAACTTGGCAATCTATATGCATTTATGACAGCTGCTCCTCATTTGTGACCAGTCCAGCAGGCCTCTAACAATGTCCAAATCAATAGGGAGCGGAGCCAAGTTCACTTAACAATTGCATGATGTGATTTGGTTTAACAACCATGATTTAAAAAAACAAACAAACGGAAAATCAGTCACAACTCACATAAAAAACGCCGCTTGCTCAACTGTGGAAATTCTGCTCCCAACTGTGGTTTTAAATCAAGGTTGTAAGTCCCAACTGTATGAACTCAGTCTTTTTACAAGTTTTCTTTGGAAAGATAAATCAGAGCAAAACTTTTGGGGAAAGAGAGGAAGACAGTTAAAACTTGGGAAGCAGTTATCTAACCGAAATATAGCAACCTGTGCAAAGTTCACAATCTGCAAGGCTGAATAATGCGCCAGCCTTTGCAATAAAAACCCCAAACGAGGGATATCTCGGGGAAAAGACTTCATGTGTGCAAATATGTTACTTATTCAATTTTACTAGGCCTATTAGAAAAGGAACAATTAGCTGTTCCTATTATCTAATCAACTCATTATAAAGGACTGAGTTGCCATGCCGTATTTAGCTAGGTCAGTGGAAAAAGGGGGGAGGTTAATGTGTTGGGTTATTCTGATTTGCAAATAGATATCCCAGTCTTTTAATCTACTAGACTTCCCTCTTCCTCAATAACAGCATTTGGAAGGGACCTCAGAGGTCTTCTAGTCCAACCCATTAAAAAAAGCATTACTGTAATTGATCCCGACAGCTAATTCCAAAGAGTTTCAGTTTCCATCCATGTCATGGAAACACCAAAAACCAGAAATGCCCCATTTCTTCTACTCAGTCCTCCAAGAAAACGATTTTGGAGGGAACAAGATGTCGAGAGAAGGTGTCGGTCTAGCCATTGTAGGACTCAGTGGCAAGGCGTGGCAAGAAGAGAGGACATGGCTGCAAGCAACAAATCACACCTATTTCTTTCCCTGTGGCCAGTAGGGAAAAGGCTAGAGATGTATTGAAACTTGGCAACTTTGAGTTATATGGACTTTAACTCCCAGAATTCCCCAGCCAGCCATGATGGGGAAAATAAAAAGTGATTATTATTATTTTTTTGCAAAGAATGAAACTTCCTTGAAGCTTTATTCATCGGCTGATGCAGCTAAAGTTTTTCAGCAAAAAAAGAAAGGTTTATTTTAACAGAACAACACAGTTGGAAGGGACCCGGGAGGTCATCCAGTACAGCCCCCTGCTTCAGCAGGAGACCCTATCCCATTTCAGTCAAATGGCCGTCCACTCTCTTCTTAAAAACCTCCAGTGATGAATCACCCACAACTTCTGGAGGTAAACAGTTCCACTGATTCATTGTTGTAAGTGTTGCCAGGAAATTGTTCCCTTTTGTTCGACTTTAGTTCTCAAGGCAGCCCATTTAGGAGACAAAATCTGATTTTAATTGCTGGTTTCTCTTGGCCATCTAGTTAGATTTGGACGACGAAGCTGAGTGTGTTTGTGTGTGTGTTGCACATAACAACACCAACAAGAAAAAAAAAACCTCAAACTGGCTCTATTGAACTGCCTTCAATTCAAGGACTGACCTCGTCTTGCCAATTTGATTCAGAACACTTCCTGGCTTGGAGAGTTGATCCAACAGCTGTGAAATCCAGCCATCCCACCCTATCTCTTCCCCAAGAAACAACAACAAATAAAGAATATCGCATATTATCTTTGTAGCCCCTATCAGGTAGATAAGCTTGGGTGGGTGGGGGGAAATCCGCTGATGCCTTCTTAGGAAATTGTTTAACCAGGATAACTCAGGACTGTCTGTCCACGCAACTTGTTAATTGTTCACTAACTACAGAAACCAGTTTGAGCAAGAAGAGCCAGCTTAAAAAACACCCACCCCCCACCCCCCAAAAAAGGAGCTGTAATATCTAACCACCAAAATCTAATTTTGAAAATCTCTGTTTCCTTTCAGGGGCTGAAGGGGAGTTTCCTTCCCCATTACCACATCCCTAGAACCAGCCAATATTTTTTTTGCAGTAGAATAGAATAGAATAGAATAAGGAATAGACTAGAATAAAGAATAGACTAGAATAAGGAATAGAAGGAGAGGAGAGAGGAGAGGAGAGGAGAGGAGAGGAGAGGAGAGAAGAGAAGAGAAGAGAAGAGAAGAGAAGAGAATTCTTTATTGGCCAAGTGTGACTGGACACACCAGGAATTTGTCTTGCTGCAAATGCTCTCAGTGTACATAAAAGAAAAGATACATTTGTCAAGAGTCAAGAATCATTGAGCAGGAAAAATAATTTAATGAAAAGAAATTGTCTCTCTTCTTCATCGCTTGTTGACAACTGCTTGGATTCCTTCTTTGCGAGGAAGTGTGTGAATTCAGGACAAATCCCACAAAAAAAGGGGGGAGGGAAATCACATTTCTCTTAGCCAAGGCAGCCTTGCCAGCTTTTCATTCTGTTCTCACACCCCTCCTGCCTAATATTTATTCCCCCCCTCCCCACAATACACACACACACACACACACACGCGCCACGTCCTGCTCCCATTTTCATGAATGGCTGTATTTTCCGCTCTGTTCCTTGCCTCCCCGGCTAATCCTTCCAAAAACCTTGGGACCTTGAACCCAGCGATTAGGTCTTGTGTAATCCCACCCCAGGAGAGAAAACAGGGGGCCCCCCTGCAACAATCTTTTGCAAGCACCCCCAAGATCACAGTTCACACCGAAGCATCCTCAAAAACCTCCCACCACCACAGAATGGTTTTTAGAGAGGAAGGACGAAGCCCGCCTTGGCTGGGGGTGCCCGGCTCCGATTTTGCAGCCCCAGGTCACCACCATGGCCCCGGTGCTTTTAATCCCTCCGCCCGCCTGGTCCCCTCCAGCAATGTTTTCACTGGCCGCCAAGCGAGCCTGGGAATAACTTTTTCAAGATGCTGAGCCTGAATTCAGAAGAGGAAAGTTGTTGTTGTTGCTTTTTTCTCCAGTGCCAGAGAAAGGCTGGATGGAGCTGGCATGATTTCCAGAGAATCTGGCCTGGAACGCCGATGAATTCCTAACTGGAAATCCTCATTCTGGCTTTCCCAAAGGGCTCCGTTTCCGCCATGACATTCGCTGAGCTTCTGGATCAGATCGGGGGCATGGGCCGCTTCCAGATCCTCCAAGTCACTTTGTTGGTGACCCCGATTTTATTAACAGCCAGCCATAACCTGCTCCAGAATTTTTCAGCCGGGATACCCGATCACCATTGCCGGGTCAGGCTAGCGCACAACGGCACTTATGCCCATACCAACTGGACTCAAATGCCAACGGGTGAGGAAGATCCCTGGGGGATTCCCAAAGATGCCAGCGGGCAACCCGAGAAATGCCTCCGCTTTGTGGCCACCGAGTGGCCTCCGCTGAATGCCAGCGCCGAAGTTGGGGGCAACGGCACGGGCACTGCGACCGAACCGTGCAAGGACGGATGGGTTTATGACCGAAGCATCTTCACTAACACCATCATTATGGAGGTGAGAGGGCAGAGGTGGAGGGGTGGGGGGGCAGGGAATGGCGACTGGATTTGGATTCTGCTAAGGCTTATATAAGTCCAATTTCGAACCCCTGCAAAAAGCCAGGCTCCAAAGCGTTGAGCTATCAGCCATGCGACACATCTTGGTGGGTAGCTAAATTTTGGAAGGGGACAGATTACATTCTTGAAAATAAGTTTGGTTCTTTGAACCTTCTTTTAAAAGTTGATGGGTTTCAAGGGGTCTCCAAAATGTCCCCCCCACCCCCCCATGGATGCAAAGGAAGCTTCCACAGGTGGAGGTGACCTCAATTTTTGTGGGGGTGGGGGCAGGGAAGGAAAAAATTAACATGTTGAGACTAGGATTGGGGAAAAGCAAGATTCTGGCAGAAATGTCCTTATTTTTTTTCTCCATGCTAAGTATACAGAACAAAGAATGAAAGAGTTGGAAAGGAGGTCTTGGGAGGTCTTCTAGTCCAGCAAGAGATTCTCTACTATTCTGGACAAAGGGCCTTCCAATCACTTCTTAAAAACTTCCAGCTGAAATTATCTTGTCACGTTATAGATGAATCTATTTATTTATTTTAAGAATCGGGGACTTTATGCAATTTTTCCCCTCATCGCTCCAATTGACTAGGGAGCAAGGGTATTACCTACCTATCCTGTTCTTGTTTTTGCAAAAAATATATTAACGAGCCTATGTTTTTAATAGGCATTCAGCCTCAGCTAAATAAGATGGAGTAGAGTTCATCTAACATCGTTAACTGGGATGCAAGGAGTGAGGCTAGAAGGTCATGTGAAGGAGGAAGAGGAGAGATTCCACCAGCTAATCCAGATGAGGTTTAGATTTAACCCTGAATAAAATATTCAGCCCTGGAATGATTTGCCTCAAGAACTTGTGGCTGCTCCAACATAGCTGGCTTTTAAGAAGAGACTGGACAACCATTTGTCTGAAATGGCATAGGGTTTGCTGCCCTGAGTTAAGGGGTTAGAGTAGATGACCTCTGAGGTCCCTTCTGTTATTCTGTTCAATGAAGTTTTCCCGCTCCTATCTTCTGATCTTTGTTGTCCCCCACCCCCCTTCTTACTGTTTAAATAAGTTTATCTGTTTGTAGCCGTTCTTCCCCCTGTGGTTTCTACTTGGGATACATGCAAATTGTTGCAAAAACACCAGCAGTTCTTTGAAATATATTCATTAAATTTAGGTGACGCCCCTGTGTCTCTCTTTCCAAAGTGACTGCGGGCTGCCTGCAAATCAAAGACATCGGTCATCCACACAAGCTAATGCCCCCGAGGCTATCTTGATTTGATTGGTGTGCTAGATCAGGGGTCTCCAAAACTTTGGTGACTTTTAAGACTTGGGGACATCCAGAGTTCCTCGGCTAGCATGGATGCAAGGAAAGAGGTTAGAAGAGAAGAGAAGAGACTCCACCAATTAATCCAGAAAGGGCTTAGATTCAGCCCTGAATGAGTTACACGTAGTCCTTGACTTACAACAGGCCGAAGAACCCTGGGAGTTGAAGTCCCCAAGTTTGGAGACCTCAGATCTAGAATGACCACAGAGCTGGCTGGGGAATTCTGGGGGTGGAAGTCCACAAGTCGCCATATTTGGAGACCCCACCCCCACCCCCGATTGATATCCTGCCTTGAGCTCAAGAGTTCAAGCGTTCCCTCCTTCCAGTTTTCCCTGGAACAACAACCCTGCGAGGGAGGTTGGTAGGAGAAAGGGAGAAACTTGAGGGAGATTCGGTGGCTAAAGGGAGATTTTGACTCTGGGTCTGCTGTGTTGTGTGATTGGGAGTCTAAGGAAATGAAGCATTCTTGCAGGCCTTTCTGGGTCCCCGTCTCTCTCTAGCCTCCTCTAACTTTTTTTCCCTTCCGCCAGTGGGACCTGGTTTGCAACCGGAAGACGCGGAGACAGATGGCCCAATCCATTTACATGGGAGGAGTTCTTGCTGGCGCTCTTATACTTGGGAGCTTAGCAGACAGGTGGGTGTTTTTACAAAGCAGAGCCATGCTTTGGGGGGAACATAGCTGGAAACTGGGGGATGCGACAGGGATGGATTAATATCCCACTTCTACCACCAATCCTGCCTCTCTAAGTTTGTGGAAGTTTCCCCCACAGCCCTCTCCCCTGCCTCCCTGTGGCCTCTCCAAAAAAAATAGAGAGAGAAGGAGTAAGAGAAAGGAAAAGGGAAAAAGGAAGACAGAGAAAGGGAAAAGAGAAAAGGGAAAGAAAAAAAGAAAAGGAGAGAGAAAGGAAAAAAGAAAAAAAAAGGAAAGGGAGGCCTATTTTCCAGGTTCTAATTAAGAAACTAGTCCACATTGTGTTGGACAAAGGGGAGGAGATGTATAGGTAGACCTTGACCAACATGATTGGGACCAGAATTTCCACTGATAATAAACTGAGCTATTCCCAACTTCATGACCTTTTCCACCACGCTTGTTAAGCAAACCCCTGCGGTTATTAAACGAATCACAGGGTTGTTAAGCAAATCAGGCTTCCCCCATGGCCGTAGCTTGTTGGAAGCTCATTGGGAGGGTCAGAAATGGTGACCATGTTACTCTGGGCCACTGCAACCATCGTAAACACACACCCATTGTGCCAAGTGCCTTGATCGTAAGACCACATTGTGGGATGCCACAACGGTCGTAAGTTCGAGGACCAGGTCCCAAGTCACTTTTTTCGGTGCCATCGTAACTTTGAATGGTCGCTCAACAAATGGTGGTCAGCCGAGGGCTACGAATCCTGCTAAAAATATACTTATTTAAGACTGTAACCTCTGAAGAATGGAGAATTGTTCCCATGGATTGATGCAGAATTCTGTGCCACAGGTTCGGCCGCAAAGCGATCTTAACGTGGTCCTACCTCCAGCTGGCTGTCTCGGGGGTGTGCACGGCTTTTGCCCCCAATTACGCAGCCTACTGTGCCTTCCGGTTCCTGGTTGGCATGGCGCTCTCTGGCATTGTCCTCAACTGCATGTCTTTAGGTAAGACAGGAGGAAGTTGGTCAAACTTGGATGGGGGGGTTGGACTAGATGACCTACAGGGTCCCTTCCATCTTTGTTAAACATGTTAAACAAAACCAGCTTAAAGTGGGGGAGGAGAGGTTGGAGGGATGGGAAAAACAAAATATTTACAAGATTCCAGAGTTTTAAAGGCCACTTTTAAAGCTCCCACTTTGCAGCCGGTTCTTTAAACTATGGCTTCTCAATCACTTTTTTAAGATGGGTGGATTCCAGTTCCCAGAATTTCCCAGCCAGCCATACATGGGACTTCAACTCCCAGAATTCCCCAGCCAGCAAGTTTTGAAATGTGTAGATTTCAACTCCCAGAATGCTGGCTGGGAAATTCTGGGAGTTGAAGTCCACGTATCTTAACGTTAACTTTTAAAACAGATTTTCCCAGAATTTCCCAACCGGCATGCTGGGAGTTGAAGTCCACAGATCTCAAAGCATGCTGACTGTGGAATTCTGGGAGCTGGAAGTCCGCATGCCTTATAGTTGCCAAGGTTGAGAGCAGCACTGCCCTAAATCCTCCCCTTTGTGTGTGTGTGAAGTGAGGGAAGTGATATTTCAATGCAAGTCTAAACACACTTTCTACTCCATTCAGCTGGTTCTTGATTCTCAGAACTGACAGGGTAGCTTTTCTCCCCCAGCGCAAGAAATCTGGATGTTGCAAAGCCCCACCAGTTGGATTTGGGCCTGACAGACCGCTGTTGGGAGCAAATTTTATTTAGCGAGGTTATTTTGCAGCCTTGCACTTTTGTGCATTCCTGACTCCCTGAGCAATGTTTTGTCCTCAGCGTGCTGCAGACCTGTCCAAATATTTATCTCTGCAGTTTGCCATACCTGAGTCTTAATTTGATTAAGGCCCACTGGGAAGAAACAGGTCATATGATCTGCGGAGAATGCAGGAATAATTGGAGGGGAGGGGAGAGAAACATCACGGTCCCTCGGACACCGGGAGGAAAATGATGCAAGCAGAACCTTATGGCATCTTGCATGGCCAATTGAAGTTGGGGAAAAGGAGGCCATGTGGTGCCGTTGAACACTCCCTGGCCACTTTGCGTTATTCAGAAATAACTTTTCAAAAGTCTTTTTCCCCCCCTCAATGATATGGAGCAATGTATTATTGCTTGCTACTGTCTGAACGGAGAAGAGGTTTAATGTTGGAGGAGAGCAGCATTGGATTGGAAGTTAACATGGAAATCAGATTGGGATGGGTAAAGCAGGCACGCTCAAAAGGACTTCAACTCCCAGAATCCCCCAGCCAGCATGCTTTAAGACAGGGCTCTCCAACCTTGGCAACTTTAAGCCTGCAGGACTTCAACTCCCAGAATTCCTCCTCCAGTCATGTTAGCTCAGGAATTCTGGGAGTTGAAGTCCTCCAGGCTTAAAGTTGCCATGGTTGGAGACCCCTGCTTTTAAGAGGGGTGGATTCCCAACTCCCAGAATTCCTCCACCTGTATGCATGGTCAACACCCAGAAGCCTGCTAGCTGGTTAGGGAATTCTGGGAGTTGAAGTCCACCCATCTTAAAATTACCACGCTTGAGACACCGTGGTGTAAAGCTGACACGATTAACGCCCATGCTTTCTTCTTCCCTTGCCTTAGTCCTGGAATGGGTGCCCACCAACATCCGTACCATTGCTGGCACCCTGGTGGGTTATTCCGCCACCTTTGGGCAAATCATCCTTCCTGGTCTGGCTTACGCGCTTCCCGACTGGCGCCAGCTGCAATTCACGGCGTCCATGCCATTCTTCATTTTCTTCATATACTCGTGGTGAGCAGGTAGCATCTTCGCGGAGGCCTTTCCTAAAAACCTGAGTGCGAAGTGAATCGCTGCAGTTCTTAAGTTAGCAACACGGTTGTACGGCGAATCTGGCCTTCCCCACTGACTTGGCTTGTCCGAAGGTCGCAAAAGGGGATCGCGGGCCGCTGCAACCGTCATCAATAGGAATCCGTTGCCAAGTGCCTGAATTTTGATCCTGTGATAAAGGGGATGCTGCAGTGGTCGTTAAGTGTGAAAAAGGGTCACCGATCACATTTTTCAGTTCTGTGGCCGTTTTGAGCGGTTGTGAGAACTCCCCATATAGCTTCTTATTCCTGGTCCTGGGTTCAGATCTCATCCCCTGCCTCAAAGTCACATTTTGGAGATTGGTTTTGCTCATTTTCCACTCCTGATTTTGTGCCATTTTGAATGGGTGGTTCAGGGGTCCCCAACTTTGTGACTTGGTGGCCCAGCCAGGGGGTGCAGGGGGAGACGGGAACTGGGCCACAGCCCGGCGTTTGGGAACCCCTGATCCAGTTTAAGAGTGTTGTTTTTGCTGGAAGAGGTCAGTCTTTCCGAAGTCACCTGATTGGGCTTTTCCACCCAGGTGGTTTGCAGAATCAGCCCGGTGGCTGGTGCTGTCCGGCAAGGCAGACCAGGCGGTCCATGTGTTGAAGAAAGTGGCTCAGCTGAACGGGAAGAAAGATGAAGGGGAGAAACTCAACACCGAGGTACGAAGGGTAGATTAGTGGGGTTGATGCTCTTGTTGGTCAGATTTGATGGTGGGAACGGAGTCCTTTAGAAACGGGAGGTTTCGGGTCTTTGGTTTGAAAGAAACCAGGTTGCGGGATGACGGTTAAGTTCGGGGGTGCCCAACCTTGGTGACTTTAAGACCTGTGGACTTCAACTCCCAGAATCCCCCAAAATGCTGGGGGTTCGTGACCACGTTGTAGTAAGCAAAAACAGCTGCAAACCTAAAACCAGGGAATAATTAATCTCAGGATCTGCCACCCTGTCGACACCCAAGTTTCTAGACCTCATGGTTGCTCGGCGAGCAAGATCTTTAGGGATACTGGCTGGGGAATTCTGGGAGTTGAAGTCCACAGGTCTTAAAAGTTGCCAAGGTTGGACCCTCTTGGTTTAGTCTGAGTGGCCTGTTTACTGAAGTCGATCCCTCAGTTTTGAAAGGCCAAAGATTCCTCTTTGGTGGGATCTACAGGGGTTGACACCGACTTGAGAATCCCGGCTGAACTCCTCCTGGCGGATCTGGTTCCAGAGCCAAGGTCCTTGTGGGAGGGGATAGCAGGGGCTGGTCCTGCCAACGAAATCCAAAAATGCCAGTTCCGTTGGGCCCAATGAGATAGAACCTTGCGAGAAAACACTCCAAAACTTGAGAGTGTCTCCGCTTGTGGCGCTTGTTTGCGTCCCTTTTGTTGTTGGGTGTTAGGTCTTGAAATCCAGCATGCAGAAGGAAATGACTTTGGCCCAGTCATCCTACACCTTTGCCTCCTTGGCCCGGACGCCCACGGTACGCCGGATCTCCTGCTGCATTTCCAGTGTGTGGTACGTGTCAACTCGTAAAGCATTACTGGCCTCCTTTTGAGTGGCCGTGGGGTGGGGGGGCGGGGGGAACCCTGAAGGAGCAGCAAGGAAATCAAAAAGAAAAAAAAAAACAACCAGAAGTACATTCCATACATACCTCACCAAGGCGAGGAAAGTCCTCAGTTGGAGAACGTGATTGATGACACACCGGCCATGAAGATGTTGCAGTTGGAGAATGTGATTTATGACACACCCGGTGGGGGGAGGGAAGCGGGAAACAGGGCATAGTTGCACCATAAATTACACGTGGCAAAACTGCCTTCGTTAGGATTACTGCCAACACGTTGCTCCTCATAAATAATTGGATTTCTTTTGAAGTTTGGCTCGAGGCTCGTGATTTGATTAGGGCTTCTGTTGGAACCCTGACAGTTATCTTTCCGTGGGCACCCTCCCTTCCCGAACGATCTCATTCTCGGAGCCACCATGTGGACTAGAAATTTGAGTGTCAACCTCTGCAAGATTCAGGCAGACCCCAGAGACCTATTCCTTCCCCGGTTTTAGGTTTGCAACCAGTTTTGCTTACTACGGCCTGGCGATGGACCTGCAGCATTTCGGCTTCAGCATCTACCTCATCCAGGTGGCCTTTGGTACCATTGATATCCCTGCCAAGCTGGGCTCGGCCATCGGCATGAGTTACATCGGAAGGAGGACCACGCAAGCTTCGTCCGTCATTTTGGCCGGGCTGGCCATTCTGGTCAATATCTTGGTGCCCTCAGGTGAACCATCTGAAGTTGTTGCAGGTGCCGAGGGAAGCCATCTTTAGCTCGCCGTGCCCAAAATTAATGTGACTTGAACGCCACCAATTCCAAAACAAAGAATAGGGATAGTCCTCGGGTTATGGCAGCAAGCGGAACTGGAATTTCCAGATATAAGCAGTGCAATTATAAAGCATTTTATGTACTGGTAGTCCTTGACTTACAACCATTCGTGTAGTGACCAAAGTGACAACCAGCACTTGTAAGTCAAGATGGCAACCACCAAAGCTCCGCCCCCTTTTGCAAAACCTGGCTGGCATTAGCAAAAGCTAAAATTAAAAAAAAAAAAGGCACCTTCAACAAGGTGGATATTTTGTTAAATTTAGATTGCGGCTTATCTTGAATCAGATTATCGAATTCTGGTAACTTTAAGGCCTGTGGACTTCAACCCCCAGAATTCCCCAGCCAGCATAGCAATTGGGAATGCTGGAAATCGAAGTTCTCAAGTCTTAGCTGGGTGGGGAATTCTGGGAGTTGTAGTCCCTCCCCCCGCCCCCACATCTGAAAGTTGCCACGGTTGGACATGACTGCCCTAAAGATTTATTGTGGCTCATGAATTTTGACGATATAGAATTCGTTTTAGCACTTGATTGTCCGAACATTCCAGTTTTCACCGCCATTGTTTTTCCTCCCCTGCCGTTCTTCACCCTTCACTGAAGATTTACGGACACTGAGAACGTTTTTGGCCGTGCTTGGCAAGGGGTGTCTCGCATCTTCTTTCAACTGTCTGTACCTGTACACTGGAGAACTGTACCCCACAGTGATCAGGTATGTGGCCCCAGTGCCTCCGAGGCGCTTGAACCCTCGTCTGGTTTCCAAGACTTCATAACAGGGTTTCTTTCCCCACCACAACACTTCGATGTCTTGCTGTTGCTTGATCCACACAGTCAAATGATCCTCTTTGGGTGGCGTTATTACACACCTGGTGCAGAACCAGGAGTGGGAAATTAGCAAAATGAATCTCTAAAATGTGAATTTGAGGCAGGAGGTGAGATTTGAATCCAGACCCAGAAATGAGAACAGAGAGTTCTTGACTTGTAACCGGAGTCGGGACCAGAATTTCCATCGCTCAGCAAGACAGTTAAGGGAGTTGTGCCTGATTTAATGACCTTGTTTTGCCACCGTTGTAAAGTAAATCATGCAGTTGTTAAGTGAATTTGGGTTCCCCCGTTGATTTGGGTTGTTGGAAGCCGCCTGGGAGTCTCAAATGACAATCACAAGACATGATACACATCATAAATAACATGCTGGTTCGTAGTAGTCCTTGACTTACAACACTTCTTTTAATGACCACTCAGTTACAACAGCACTGCAAATGAGACTTATGGCCATTTTTCAGTTACCACCTTTGCAGCATCTAATCATGTGATCAAAATTCAGGTGCTTAGCAACTGCTTCATATTTATGACTCGGGGTCACGTGATCCCCTTTGGCGACCTAGCAAGCAATGGGGAAGCCACATTCACTTCACAACCATGTTATTAATTTTACAACTGCAGTGATTCCGTTAACAAACGTGACAAGAAAGGTCATTAAATGGGGCAAAACTTAAGCAATGTCTTGCTTAATGTAACATTTGAGCTCAACTCTGGTTAAGTCGAGGACTACATCTACCTGAACTTTGATCACATAACCGTGGGGATGCTGGGACAGTCAGAAGCGGGAGACCCACAGCAAGCCAAGATCAAAACGCGCCATTCCTAAAAGGCAGGTTCGGAGTGGAATTCAGGCCTTCATTTTTCCTTTCATCGGCTCGTGGTTTTGTGTCCTTTTAAAGGCGGTTTCTTACCGTTGCAGACAAACCGGGATGGGGCTCGGAAGCACCCTGGCCCGTGTGGGTGGCATTGTGGCGCCCATGATCAAAATGACGGGTGAACATTGCTCCTATCTTCCGTCGCTCATCTACGGGACGGCCCCCATCCTCTCTGGCATTGCCGCCGTCTTCCTGCCCGAGACCCTCAACGTGCCGCTTCCTGATACTATAGATGAAGTGGAAGGGAGGTGAGTTTCTTGCACGCTCGGAAAAGCGAGTGCGATAACGCCGATAGGGCTCGGTGGGGGAAGGTGTTTGACTGGGGTCCAGGTTCGAGTCCTCCTATGAGCCACAGAAGCTCACTGGCTGATTCTGGGCAGTTCTGCCCGCTCAGCCAGGCTGGTGCAATGGGGTAGTCGACGCTAGACCAGGAATGGGGAGTCCAGGGTTTCTTAATCTTGACCACTTGGACTTCAACTCCCAGAATCCCTGGTTGGAGAATTCTGGGAGTTATTTAATGTCTTGTTTGTATCCCGCTTTATTATTTTTATGAATAACTCAGCGAACACGTCCAACACAGCTTCTTCCTCCTATTTTCCCAACCACCACCACCCTGTGAGGTGGGTTGGGCTAGGACAACATAGCTGGCCCCAGTCACCCAGTTGGCTTTCATGCCTAAGGCGGGACTAGAACTCACAATCTCCAGGTGATTGGCCCAAAGTCACCCAGCCAGCTTTCAAGCCTAAGGCAGGATTAGAACTTATGGTCTCCTGCTTTCTAGCATGGTGCCTTAGCCATTAGACCAAACTGGCTCTCCGAATTGAAGTCCATCCAACTTAAAGTGCTGCTGGCGATTTCTGCTTGTTTTTCAATATTCCAGAATAACGCCGGAGCGACAGTCCCTTACCGTTCAGAGCCAAGAACCAGTTTTGCTCCAGAAATTGGACCAAGGGAGAAGAACCCTGGATGGTGAAATTTGCTAAGATGGGGAAAGCGAGGAATCGGAAATTATTGCAAGTTTATTAGACATCTTTAATTGGGTTTTTCTTTTCTTTTTTTTTGCCTTTGGGCTGGAAGTGGTATTTTCAGATTTTAAAAAAAATCAACCAAATAAATGAATAATTGATGAAAATTGTAGTCATGCCTCTCTGATATTTTGAAGCCAAAGACCGGACTAAGTCCCAGGTCTAAGATGTGTTAATATGCAAGTAGTCCTCAACATACAACCATTCATTTAGTGACATTTCAGAGTTATACTGGCGTTTCTTGACTTATAACCATAGTTGGGACTCATTCACAGTAAAATATGGTTTTAGAATTCGGAACGAACCCCAGTCATGTGAGCACCTTTTGCGACCTTATGACAAGCAGTTAAAGGGGAAGCCAGCTTCACTTAACCAACCGGGTTAAGAAAAGCCATAAAACTGGGCAAAACTCACTTAACAAATGTCTCACTTAACAGAAATTTTTGACCTCGATTGTGGTCATAAGTCGAGGATTACCTGTAACGTTTTAAAAAGTGAAAATATCAAACTGCCCAAGATTTTGCAATGAATATTGGAATAATGCATCTCCTAAATATTATTCTTACCACCCCCCTACGCTGTCTTGGCGATACCCTCTTCGAGATCCAGCCTGGCTGGGGAGGATCTGTCTGGCTTGGCCAGCTTTAAAAAACTAGACTGGACAAAAAACAATAATCGTCTAGTCCCTTGTGAGGAAAGGCAACCTGGCTTTGAAGAGACTGCACTTGAGAGACAAGAATGCTGCCATGTGGCTCAACCGTACCGCTTAGAAAAGAATTAAAACCCACACCCAATTGTTGGACCGACACCACAGGAGTAAATAAAAGCAGTATTTATTAGCTAATGCTTATTACAGCCTTAAAATAAAATTGGGGGGGAAGAGAGGTTGCCAAAATATAGTTCAGCTTCTACTGCAATAATAAAAGATGGAGTGGGAAGGTATGGAAAGCCTCCATATTTATTTGCTTATTGAAAGAAAGCCCAAATTCCAAACCAATGCAATCGGAGGGCGCACAGATCAATTACTCGGGAAGGAAGGATAAAAACCAAGCGACCAACTCAACGGAGAACAGCTACTAGTGGGGAATCAGGGCACAGTGCAGAGGAGGTACGAAGCTGCACAACTATTTTGTGGCCGTCGCGAGAGAGTGAGAGAGAGAGAGAGAAGAAAAAATGAGGTATTACAGCCCGTCCTACCTCCCACCCCCTGCAAACCGACAAAACTAACCTGAGCATGAAAACCCTACAATGTTGCAGCACTGAACAGATTCACACATTATCCCCCTAGCCCAAAGAGCCAGGCTACCATAAAACTGGTTCCAAGAAGCCATTTTGGTTTTTTTATTTGGGTAGCTTTTTTTTTTTTTAAGACACAGGTGTGATGTTTCGAATGAGGACCTAACAACCTGGCCTGTGGGATGAAGACATGTAAATCCCCACATCCCACCCCAAGGGAACATTTCTACAACTTTCTTGGTTTGTTTGGTGCACAAGGGCCTGACAGCCAGCCCCCACATCTCCCTGGGGTAATGGAGAGAGAAAAGAATGATTAAAAAAAAAAAGAAAGAAAAAAACTACAGCTAAAAGGGAATCCAGAGCCAAGTAAGTGCACAAATAGTTCTCTCTTCTCTACACATAACTTGGAGACTTACTGAGTTCCCAAGACCATAAGGGAATATCTTTTAGTCTTCAAGTTTCAAGCCCTCTTGAAGGACTGAGTGGGCAGTGAAGATGACTGGAACAAAGCTTCCAGCAGTCACTGGCTCTCCACGGGCCCCAAATATCCCACTAGGACATTTCCCAGTGTTTCCACTATCGGGTGTCCTCCAGCACGCCGGGCCCCACAGCCCATCATCTTGGAAGCACAGCAGAAAGCGAGGCACCGAGTCAAGAAAGCGGACCCCTCCTGCCAAGCAGGGAAGGGAGAGTCAAGGAGAAAGACGCCAGAGGCCTTTGCGAAGGCCTTGCACCAACAAATTCCAGCACTTGTGTGTGGAGTAGACCCCAGAGAGAGAGAGGGAGAGAGAGAGAGAGAGAGAAGGGAGAGAGAGAGGGAGAGGGAGGGAGGGAGAGAGAGAGAGAGGATCCCATTTGCTTTGGCAGTCCCGAGTCTCCCCTCGCTTTCGGCAAAGATGGATTAAGAGAAGCCTTTGGAGAAGACGCGGAAGTATGCGTGTGAAAGGGAATGTCGGAGGTAGGTTTTAAAGACAATCTTAGAAAAATCAGGCACATTACAAGTAGAATATTACACAAAAACCCTATTCCAGAAAAAGGCCTCTCCTTCTGCAAGCGGGATCTTGCAGAAAACCTTGCCACTGGAGGGGAGGGAGGAAAAGGATTCAAGGTTTTTTGTTTGTTTGTTTTTAAAAAAGCATCAGGTGTTAGCAAGACCAAATCCACAAATTGAGGCCAAGGAGGGAGGGAGGGAGGGGGAAAAATGGAAAGAAAAAGTGGGTTTGTTCCTGTAAGAGAAGTTCAATACCCGAATCCCATCGGACTAGGAAGCAGTAGAGTTGGAAGAAATAGCATGTGGAAGGGGCATGGCTCACTCTAGGCCCTGCCTCTGGTGTGATGGAGACTCAAAGTAGATTTTAAAGCAGCTTATTTGAATAAGTACAAAGCCTTAGGGCAGGGGTGTCCAACTTCGACAACGTTTAAGACTTGTGGACTTCAATTCCCACAGTTCCCCAGCCAACCAAGACTTGAGGACTTCCAATTCCCAGAATTCCCCAGCTAGCTAAAACTCGTGGACTTCTGGCTGAGAATTCTGGGAGTTGAAGTCCACAGGTCTTAAAATTGCCAAGATTGGGCACCCTTGCTTTAGGGTCAGCATCCACTCAAAAGTTGCCTAACACTAGACAACCCTGAGTTTCTTTCCCGAAAACAACCACCCCCCCGAAGTCTTCCATACAACTTATACATCCCGGCAGACTCCCCGAATGAAGGGAGAGATAAATACCAGTGTGTTAAAAAGCCTGATGGAGCTTTAAATGCTCACACGCACACTGACACACACATATGGGCCTCTCGAGGAAGAAAGCATCTTGAAGTCCACCGTCCCATGGACCGATGCATGTGGGATTGGTACCCAAGCCCCACACTTTAGGAATTCGGTAACTGAAGAGGAGAAAGTGATGGATACACTCTCTTCCCCGGATCTAAACCGAGCAACATTTTCCTAAGTCATCCAAGACACGGCCTCGATTTGGCAAAGTCTGAGATGATCGTTTTGAATGGGGCAAAGGGAGTTACTTTGCCGTCGTGCTTGCTTGTGCCAAGCCTGGAGGATACCTCTGATTTGGGTTTCCGTGCCACCCACGATCCTCTCAAAGGCTACTGTGGTGCCACTTTTGAACCATCTTAGGGACTGAGATAAAGGTGCCTAACAGGGACGAAGGAAAACAAGTGGAGTTTAGAAGATTTGAAGTCATGGTATGCCCAGACCACTGCAGTGGGGCTGAAGAGAGGGAAGCGGATGGAAAAAATTAGTAAAAACCATTCAATAGGTTGTCTTTCTTGCTTGCTTGCTTCCCGTCTCGCTCACACAGAGCCCTTAAGCTGGGGTGTCAGTCCAAAACCTTGTTAGTGAGGAAAAGAGGAGCATTCAGGGAGCTCCTCAGCCCATCGTAGATGCTGGATTATTATTATTATTGAGAAAAGGGTCCCAAAATACTTAGGTGAAAGTTAAGGGCAAGGGATTTTAAGCCCCAACTTGCCAGGGAGGAGGCAGGAGGAATGACAGAAGGAGAGACAGTGAGGCAGCGGGGTGTGTGTGTGTGTGTGTGTCTGCGTGGTGTGCGTGCGGGATGTGTGATCCAACCAATACGGGAGACACTGACCCAAAGTGGGAGGCGGCAGCAGGAGGAAGATTAAAACCCCCAGAGAAAGACTGGACAAGGGAAGGTTCTCTTCCACGACTGAAAAAGCAATCAGGAGGCGTTCTGGTTCTGGAAGATCGAGGCTTTCTCCTTCAGCAAATCCAGGCAGAGGTGGCAGCTCCAGCTCCCTGCGGGAAGGAAAGCATTTTCGTTATTCAAGCCATTGATAGCAAGAACTGCTGTCCTTTTGACTGACGGCCGTAACTGAGCCCAAAATTTCTGCTAAGAAACCCGTCAAGCGGGTTTGGCCCCGTTTGGCCACCCTTCCTTGCCAGGGTTGTTAAACGAATCTCTGCAGGCGTTAAGTCGCGTGGTTCTTAAGTGAATCTGGCTTCCCCCCATGGACTTTTTGTTTGTCAGAAGGTCCCAAAAGAGGAGCACGTGACCCCCCCGGGACACTGTGACCGCCATAAATGTGAGTCAGTTGTCAAGCGTTCGAATATAAAGCATGTGACCATGGGGGTGTTGCAACGGTCGCGTGAATTTTCAGTGCCGTTGTTCACTTTGAGTGGCGCACTGAACGAACGGTTGTAAGTCAAGGACTACCTCTGACCGTGACTCAGTCCCTTTCTTTGCTTCTTCCCATCCTTTTTAGGATTCTCAGATCAGAGGGGAAGTTTATGGGTGGTAAATCATAGAGTCACAGGCCTGGAAGGGACCTCGGAGGTCTTCTAGTCCAACCCGCTACCCCAGACAGGAGTCCTGGCACCATCCCAGACAAACCCAGTCTCTTCTTGAAAAACTCCGGGGATGGAGCGCCCACAATTCCAAGAGGGAAGCTCTTCCAGGGATTAATTGTGCTCGCTGTCAGGAAATAGGGGCCAGCGATCCAACGTCAGCTGGCTTGGGACTCTCTGGAGAGGAGCAAATCATTACTGCCCGGTTGGCATCGATGTGTCAAATTCTCGGGCAGAGGTCGTTACCTCCCCCAACTAATGTTTAACGGGAGGTGCAAAGATTAATTCCAGGAACTCCTAAACGGGGCGATGCATTGGCTCACATCCTGTGGGCCCGTGCAATGGAGCCAGGATGGTTCTGTGAGTCACCTCCTCCTTGTCCGAAGACGAGTTGCAACTGGAGTGGAGACACAGAGCGAGGGAGACTTTCTCCGCATCTCTAATTTAACTGGAGCCGTCAGGGCCCTGAGGGTGACTCGCGGTTCCCTTGTCAAGTGATGTAAAAATGAACGCACCGTTTGAAATTAACACGAGCTGCAAGGATCCTCCCAAACCCCTGAGTCAGCTCTCGCTCTGGGAACAAGCCACCATTTTGCCTCGTCATGATAAAAGGAAGGATTGGCATTTTTAAAAAGATGGCAGCCTGGGATGCGTGTGTATTCGCACATACATATATGCTAATTTTGAACTTACTTCCTTCTCCTTCCTTCCCTTTTTCAATTCCTTCTTTTCTTCCTTTTTAAAATTCCTCCCTCCCTGTTCTGACCCAACCGGGTTTCCAAATAGCAAACACAGACAAAGGCAGCAACCCCACCCCCTTTAAGGTTTAATAACAATTCTGTCCTGAAGGCTGCTTTCCATTAATTAGCTCCGACAAGAAAGAGCCTTGCCTGGTTGTTTGTCAATGATGCCAAAAACTCAAGAGATAAGAACTAATTTATGAGATTCTCCAAACACAAATTAAGATGTCCACCAGTTGAGCTTCAGAGCTTCAGCTGCTTTGCTGTCTGCAAAGAACGCTTTTCCAAACCTGGCTTTTATCCTCTTGAGGGAGGGGCCATTACCTTGAAGCCTTACGCCCGAGTCGCCTGTGCTGCTCTAACTGCTCTCTCCTACGATCACGCACGCGCACTTGGCACAGGCTCCTCGGGAACCTCCTCATTGCTGCTGCCAGCCCCCATATTCTCTGAAGGCGAATACTCCCCAATGGTCCTGGCCCCTCACCTGAGTCCTCGCTCTCCTCAGCCGTCTGCACCTGCTGCCAGGTAACCCCAACACTCCCTCCCCTGCTTTCATTCTATGTTCATCTATACGCTGCCATTCCTCCAATAGGATGACCCTGGGCAGCTTGAAGCCTCATGAGGTTTCACGACAGAAGGCCAAAAATCTTGTAAGTTGGAGTCTAAACCAAGATTTAGGGTTTCAAAATGCTATTTGTTACATAACATTCGGGTGCTGGTCATTTCATTTTGGAGCATCACAGGTAGGGAGACCCTTCATGGAACAGGTTTCTAACCTGCGAGGTAACTTCCGCATTTTGGTTTTAAAAAGGGAATGAGCCACAGTAGTGGCCCATATCCTGGGGTCTTCCTGATGTGCTGGACCACCAATTTCAGGGCAGCCAAGGGAAAGGGAGGAAGCAAGATCAAAAGGAAGAAGGCAGGAGGCTGCCCAACAATTCTGGGCTGCCCAGCCCTTCACAACTCCAAAATCTTGCCCAGGTGAAAGGTGGGGGAGCACAAGAAGGGGAACGGAACAGAACTCACCTTCTGGGGGTTCTGACATAGGTGGGGTGAGGCAGTACATGTGATAACCACGGTCACAATCGTCACAGAACAGCAGCTGGTCCTGAAGAAGAGGGGGAGGGAGAAGCAATGAAGAATACGGCTTAACTCCCCCTCCTTTTGGACTGGAGAAAACAGCATCTAGAGGACTTTACTCCCCTTTCTTTTTATGAATCCCAAAAATGTGACATTTCCCATCATGCAAAAGACTCCATATTTGAAAGGCTCTCCAGAATGGTCAGGCCAGGTGAGTTTGGAAGTACCTGTTTTGAGTCCCCACCCCACAATCAAAAAGCTCCAAGTAGCTGATATACTAAGACCCTGGCCAAATTCACAGCACAATTCTTCACCTAGCAGCAAATTACACAGCTGCACTCCCCCAAGATCCTGAGCTGGGTTCGTTTTTAGCAGCCCAGCATGATGCAGCGTGAATCTAGCCACTCAATTTATGATTCAACGTACAACAAAACCCCCTCCCCAAAATGAGTTCTCAACAATTAGAGGAGGCTGTGTGAACACCCACCCCCATTCAGGACACACATTTTGAAACGGTGCAAACGATATAATCCAGGTTTTGTGATTCAAACTCAGGTCTAATCTTGGTTTCTAAGAGGATCCACCTCAAGAAGCAGGCTTCAAAGGATCCAGGATCAGAGGTGGGCAGGGGGAGAGGTCAAGTCTGAAGGAGAGGGAGCGGGGAGGGGGTTGTCCCCAAAAGGAAGAAGGAGGCAGAACTAAGGAGAGTCCTTCCAATCTGAAGCAGACCAGCCTTTCGGGGCAGGAAGGGAGAGCGGGGGAAAGCACACTCACGTCGTTCTCCGAGGTGCCGCAGATGTTACAGCACTTGCATTCAATACACTGCCAGCGGTAGGTCTTCACGGCAGCCATCATGACTGGGGTGAACTGCAAGCAAGATGGGTGCCCTAAAGAGGCAAGAGAGGGAGAGAAACGGCCTCAAGACGTACCCACCTTGCCCTAGGAAAGGCGGGTGAGCTACCTGGCAGGTGGACAGCTAAGGCAAGAGTCCTTTTCTCAAGGGTATACCCAAGGGGGGGGGGGGAGAGGGTTCCCATCAGATCGCCTACCTGATCGCCCACAGTCCGAGCACGAAACCAGCTCTTCAGGTTGCCCTGTCTTCTTGTTGATCTTCGAGTCTCCCAGACAAAAGTCGCAGTAATTGTTGGGCAGGGCCAAACCATCGGGACCCTTCTTGGCTATGGGAGGGGGGAGGAAGGGGTTTGTCTTTCAAAGCACAGCAGAGGCTTGTCCTGTTTAGCAGCCCAGCTAAAACCCCGAGACGCACATACACTCCAAAATGGTAAATTCCTGCACAGAAAACTTTTGGGCAGCAAAACGGACAGATCAGAAGCATCACTTGGGCCCAGCAAGTTTGCTAACACATATACTCATTGCCAAGTTATTTCTCACCCCCTCCCCCCAACTAACCTCAGAGGGTCACTTTGGTGTGGTTGCCTCCTGCCACCACTTAGGTTTCAAAACCATGGTAGCAGAGCCCATTTCTAACCGCGGTTGGTAAGTGGTAGCCTGTCAATTCTCATTGTTGGAGGGGCGCCTCAGGCACCATGATCTTCTCTGAAAATGGAAGGGCGGGGGAACTGGCCGAGGAAGGACCCCCCCCCCCCCCCCCACTCGTGAAGGTTCCCATTGGTCAGCGTAGTTGGGCAACAGAGCTGGAGCTCTTTCAGGCTCCGGCCACTGCAGGTGATTCAAAGCAAGAGACCCAGTGAGGAGTTGGGGAAGGAGAGGGTGGATGGGATGAATGCCAAGGTGGACAAATGCGACCTGACAGCAAGACTGTTCCATGACCTCCATTATGCAGGGACCAGCGGGGCCAAACAAAGGTTCTGCCTTGATTCTCGGGGATCAGGCTGAACGGCAGCAGAGAAAACTGGCCCTGGGACTCACCCCACCCCCGACTCAAAACAAGTCAAAGGGAGGGGCAGAAGCCCCCCCCCCCGCCACTTACTTTTCTGCTCCTCGGATCTCTGTGAGACGGGCGTGGGGGGCTGAGAGTCCTCCTTGTCCTCCCCTTCTTCTTCCGCCAGGTGACAGTGAGCGTAGTGGTAGCTCAGGCCGGGACGGTTCTTGTAGCGCTTCCCGCAGACTGAACAGGAAAGAACCAGAAGGAAGCGCTGAGAGCCACGCCGGCTGTAAAGGAGCCCCCTCCCACACCCCTCCTCAGTAAAACCCACCGGTGGGCTAGTCCTCACTCAAAAGCCACCCCAAAGCACTTTGCCTGCTTCCTCAAACAGGTAGTCCTCAATTTCTAACCAGTCACTTAATGACGGTTCAAAGTTATGAGAGGCCTCCCCAGAGCTACTTATGACCTGTTTTTGGAGTTATGGCAGCTGCACACACTCCAACCTGAAGTCATGTGATTATATTTTGGGCCCTTGGCAACCAGCCCACTTTTGCAGCATCCTGCAATGGTGACATTTTTTTTTTTTGCTGGTTTTCAGCGTTTTCTTCTGGTTTCCAGCCCATTGGGGAAAACTGATTCACTTAACGACTGCTGCATTTGCTTAATGACTGTTGTTACAAAGGATCATCACTTTGAATCCAGTCACCTGATGCTTCAAATGACGGCTGCAATGACTTAGCGGGACTGTACTTCCAGGCTCAGTTATGGTTGTAAGTTGAGGACTACTTGCACAGAAGTGGAAGGAGAGGGCACAGAGCTGGTCGCAGGGCGGGAGGTATTCTCTCTTCCCACAGAGCAGAACCAGATTCCTTCAGCTGCTACACCCACGTTCTGCCTGTAACCTTCTTCTAGGGGACTTGGCGAAATCCCAAGGCAACTCATTCAGGGCCGCAAGCAAAATGGTTATTTGTCACCGGAATGGAATGGCCGACACTGCATACCCCAACCCAGCACGGCAAACAATCCATAAAGTGCATGCAGACAAAACGGATGATGAAATTCAATCCTCCGGTTCTCATGAAACAGAGGACTGAAATTCTACAGATGTTATCTGACGTCCAAAAAGCAAAGGTTAAGGATATTCAATGGACAGCAAAGACGTTTTTCTGCCCTTCCACATGTGCAGGATAACGTGTCTTGAACAAAAAAAAATCATGTTTACTCAAGACTCCACCTTTTACGCAGTTCCTCCCAAATCCCAGGTATGACCCCGATTTTGCCACCTCCCTTCCCAAATCCAGCCTTCCCTGTAAGTTCTTTTTGCATAAATATCCCCATTCTACACTTTACTATAATTAAGCCTACATCCCTGTTGGACTTCTCATAATTAAAAGACTTGCACCGTTTTTTAAAAAAACTTACCCAGATTCTATTTTTTGTTCTCTTCCTCGTGCCAAATTTGGGCTCATGTGGTGCTTGGAACACGAAGCCACCCCCTGTACTTCTGTGCAGCCTTGTGCTTTCTAATTTACATCATTTCTGTCAGTTTAAGCCCAGCCTAGTAAATTAGCTTGCAAAACCTATACATGCATTTTAGCGTTAACTGAGATTTCCATGCCAGCGACAGGGGGAAAAAATCCACTCTTCTGTACCCAGCATGGACTCTTCAGGTAAGAAAAAAGCATGGCATACAATATAACCGCTCTTTGACTCTGATTATAAAAGGGAAGATGGGCGTTAGTGGAAACATGGAATTCTGGGATTAAGAGATTAGGAATATGCCTGCCCCATAGTGCTGAATTACAGCTCTCAGGATCCACCATCAAGGCCATCCAAGTTAGTTAGCAACATCAGTAAGTCCACAACTATCTAGAGCAGGGCTCCCCAAATTTGGCAATTTTAACTCTTGCGGATTACAACTCCCAGGCAGCCATGCTGGCTGGGGAATTCTGGGAGTTGAACTCCACAAGTGTTAGTGGACTTGCCAAGTTTGGAGACCATCTACAGCAAAGAGGCCCGGGCTACATTTTAGCTGTTCTTTTCTTCCCTTGACAGAAATGTACCTTCCTCATTGCTTACTGCCTTTCTCTGAAAAATATTGGAAGGAAGGAAGACCTGATAGAACTAGCTTTAGAATGTGCCTGGAACATATTCAGGGGCCAGGGAAGCAGAACAAGTAATCCATCACCTTCTCCGTGGCTCAAATTAATCCACCAAACAATACGTCCTAAATCTGGAAACAGCTCAGGCCAGAAACAAGAAAACAGACCATATTTAGAAGGAAGCAGTAGAGCTGCCGGTGGAAGGGAGGTGGTGGATAAAAAGGAACAAATCCTTTCCAAATCCTTTGAGCTATGTAGGTCTCACAACTTGGGGATGTTTCGGTATGGATGATGTATGCGCACACACATGAATGTGTGCGTGTGGGTATGTGTGTTTGTCCAGCAACTGGAAATCTAATTTGCCAAGAAGAAAAAAAATCACAGCTCTCTTACGGATTGTGTAAATCCAGCTGATTATGTAAGGAACCTGAGCTAAGCGGGCCCTCCTCTATGCAGCTACTACAGTCAGCAACCAATTCAGGCTTAGAACTGTCTTTCTCCGGGAGGAAATCGGCAGGACTAGTTATACAGGTAGCCCTCGACTTACAACAGTTCATCTAGGGACTGTTCGAAGTTACAACGGCACTGGAGAAGGTGACTTACGGCCGTTTTTCACACTGACAATCCTTACAGAATCCCCACAGTCACCTGATCAAAATTTGGACGCTTGGTAACTGGTTTCGTATTTATGGCGGTTGCAGTGCCCTAGGGTCACGTGATCCCCTTTGGCCACCTTCTGTCAAGCAAAGTACCAATGGGGGAGCCAGATTCACTGGTTATTAACTTAACTGTTAACAGCTGTGGCGAGAAAAGACGTAAAATGGGGGGAAACTCACTCGGCAACATAAATTTGGGGCTCAATTATAGTCGTAGGTTGAGGACTACCTGTATTCCCAACAGCCTGCCAGAATTGAGCCCCTCCATTTTTGCTGAGAGCCCCGGGAGAATCCAACAGATTATCTAGGATCACCTAGGCTGCTGAGAGAGAAAAGTACGGTCCAGCAAATAGCTCAGAGGTCACCTAATGAAGGGAATGAAGACCGAAGACTCAGGCTTTGGGCTATTATTAACAGAATTTACAAAACCTGGAGACCTTTTGCCCTGTTCCTGTGCTAACAAATCTTCTCAGCTGGAGAAGGCAAAGTCCCAACTCAGGTGCTCCCCCCCACCCCACCCCACCATTCCATGGGGCATGGGCCCAGCAGGCTGGAAGAAACAACAATCTTCTCTCTTAATGCCAATTAAGATAATTGGTATATCGAACAGGATTTACAGATTCTAGCAACAATGAAAGTAAACGCAAGCTCTTGCCGCTTCCAACATCTGGCAGAGCAGATCTGGAAATGCAGCTGGTCAGAATGACGTTGGGGGTTTGCCACTGCCAGTTTGTGCTCCACCACAGCGTTTCTCAAGACCTGTGAACTTCAACTCCCAGAATTCCCCAGAAACCATTTCCCCACCCCCCTTTGGCCTCAACTTTGCAAAGCTTGACTCTCTCTCAAATCCGTCCTCCTCTAGACGGAAATGTCGAATTCTCGATTCAACATTCACCACCACACTTCAAAAGAATTTGTATCTTTCTCAAACGCACAATTCATGCACAAATGCATGTTTCCTAAACCCATCCACCCCCACCTCAATATGTCACACACATAAAACCAAAGCAGGTATCGTCGGAAGGGAGGGATTTTTTTGGCACTCTGCAGGAGAAGACCCAAGATTGTTTTTTTAAAGAAAAAAAGGGGGGGGTGGGGGGGCTGGAAAAGAGTTTTTTTAAAAACGAACATTTCAGAAGAACAAGGTCAGGAGGAAATTAAACAGCAAGACAGAAAGAATGGAATACCTCGGTCAGGAGGTTTCGAGGTATGCTTTTGTTTGTAACTATCTGAAACACAGAAAGAGAATGAGAGAAAGGTGAAGGCAGTCTGTAAGGTCACGCACATAACATGCACACAAGTCAGCTATACAGAGCGATTAAAAAGGAGGAGAGAAAAAATAAAAAGTCACTGGTGTTATTTCAAATCAAGAGGGGCAGTATAAAATTCTTACAGGAGAGTAAAGGAGGAGAGAAAGAAAAGGAATTTCAGGAACTCAGGATTTGCCCTTTGGAAAGGTCTTGCCAATCGCCTTTCACTCCCAATTTTTCCATGAATCACCAAGGTTTCATGGGCCTTGTTTTTTTTTTTCTTTTTCTTTTTGCAAATCGGTGTGCAGGGAACAGGCCAAAGATCAAACAGTTGTGAAATGTGGAGCCAAAGGAGACACTGTCTATCGTAACTCTGGGGTCTGCATGTGAGGTGCAACGAGATACAAACAAGACTAGCAACAAACACCAAAAAGAAGCCCAGAGTAAGACAGCTTCTCTTCCCTTTGCTGCGTGCGTGTGTGCGTGCATGAAATCCAATCCCGGGATCTGCCAGAAGAAATAGGTTAGAACTTTTCCCAGAATCCCACTGGTGGGAGGCACAGCGAAGACCCCACCCACCCGCTCAGAATGCCAAGTGAATCTGTTCCCCAGATGCTCTCTTAAGGAAGCCAGTTTTAGGCAGCAGAGAAGTGGCCAACGCTGCATGTCTCTGCGTTCTCACTTAACTCCTCGTCGGGCAAAACTGAAAAAAAATCTTCATCAGGCAAAATTGCCATTTTTTTTTTGAAGTTGGATAAATAACTGTTACTCCCCTTCACATTGTGTGATAAATGATGTGTTTTCAGCTCACCCCAAACAGCTCTCAGCCCAGAGCACGATTAACGGGGGGCCAAGTAAAAGGAGGTACGAGTAGCCAGCCTGTGGCACATCTTCCCAAGAGACCCCAAGCAGAGCAATCGCATGCGATCCCATCCTAACACCGGGAGCTATTCCTGGTTTATACACCAGTAAAATCAAGAAGCTGTTTACTATAAACTGGCTTGTACTCACTGTCACATGCATAAGGTTTGTCCCTGTCTTCCAAAATGGCAGCATCCAGCTTTTTCCGAGCGCTCCCAACTCCTTTACCCTATAAGGAAATTTAAAAAAAAATTGAAGGCAGGTGAAGAGTATGCTTTCTCTCTGCGTTTGGAGGAAAAAGTACAATCCAAGATGGAACCGTATTCCACTGAATTGTACTGAATCTGATTTGTGGTCCGTTCCTTTCCTTTCCTTTCCTTTCCTTTACTTAGGGCAGAGTTGCCAGTCCCAATTAGCATTAAGCGAGGACTACTTGCGTGTTGGTGGTTAGTTCTGCTAATCACACTAAGAAAATATGTAGACCAAGGCTGCCACCCAGTGAAAGATGTTTGTAACAATCTTAAAATGAGCATTTATTTATTTCTCTGAACCACTCTAAGATCTTTTTCAGATGGCAGGTAACAATAATTTGGATTAACCAAGATTCTCAGAATTTGATTTTTATATGCTCAGAGTAACACCTGTACCAAGCTAATGGCTTCTGCTAAAAAAACCTGCCTTCTCAGAATCTTTGGGACACTAGGTATCTCCTAAAACCCTAGTAAGATCACATCTGGAATACTGCAAACCAATTTTGGTCACCATACTACAAAAAAGACGTCGAGACTTTGGAAAAAGTTCAGAGAAGAGTAACTAAGATGATCAAAGGCAGATTAAAATATATGAAGAGTGGCTGCAGGATTTGGGTTTGGTCACTCTGGAGAAAAGAAGGACTAGGGGGGACATGATAGTAGTATTTCAGGATTTGAGGGGTTGCCACGAAGAAGAGGGGGTCAACTTATTTGCCAAAGCACCAGAGGACAGGATAAGAAAGAATTTTTGGAAACTGATCAAGGAGAGAACAACTCAGAATTAAAGAGAAACTTCCTGACAGTCAGGACAATTAAGCAGTGGAACAGCTTGCCACCAGAAGTTGTGGATGCTTCACCACTGAAGGTTTTTAAGAAGCGACTGGACAATCACTTGTCTGAGATGCTATAGGTTCTCCAAGGGGCTGGAGGTCCCGTCCAACTCTATTCTATTCTATTCTTTGCCCAAAATGTTCAGAGGCCCTCCTTACTCTGCATTAAAGAAGCCTATGTAAAATTCAGTGAGCCCACAGAAGTTGAAATGTTACCCCCTACCTTGGCCTTTCCTTTGCCTCGTCGTTTTGGGGTGTCTTCCTCGTAGTCTTCATCATCCAGGTCATCCAAGAAGTCATCGGGTTCCAGGATTCGCTGGAAGAAAAAGAAAAGGATGCAAAAAGCTGTGAGAAACGGACGTTTGGCTCATCCAAAGGAACATTCCCGTTAAATCACAACTCTGCGGGTGTCGGGTTCTGTGACAGGCTGGCTGATAAGAACCCCCCCTCTCGTCTCGTTAGTGCACTGATAGCTTCGTTGTTAAGAACCAGGTAAGCGCAGTTTCCAAGCAGCTCTGCAGGACAAACGCTAAGAGCAACAATATCCTTGCTCAGTCAGGGACCATTTTCCATGCAGGTTCTGAATCCAAAAGCAGATACGGGTAGTCCTAGACTTACAACAGTTTCTTTAGTCACCGTTCACTGAAAAAAGCGACTCGTGGCCATTTTTCAGATAAGACCTTTCCAGCATCCCCATGGTCACGTGATTTATGTTTAGAGGCTTGACAATATGAACCATATTTATGACGGTTGCAGTGTCCTGGGGTCACATGATTCCCCCCCCCTTTAAATAAAGTTTTATTTGAGTTTTCACACACAAAATACAAGTAAAACATCTTTTTTGAAAATAGCATGGTCCCGGGTTGAACTTCTTTATACAGACACAAAACTCAATTTCATGCTCCTTTTTGTATTCTATTCCATATCTTATACTATTTTACATTTTCTATATAGTTTTCCCCTCTTTTAATTTTCTCAATTTTATTTTGATTATCTCAATTCAAATCATTATATTTATACTTTTGCCTGTTCTGTTTCAATTTCATATTACCTTTTCTCATTAAACAAATTTTCTCCTGTAGTTACTAATTGGAGTATGACACCTTTATATCTTCTAATTACATCCATTCAACTCTTATTTAAACTTCAGTATATACCTTAAGTTTATGACCTTCAATATAATACATAATACATAACTTCCAATTGAATTCTGCATGGCACATTCTTATAATACACACTATATTCTTTAAAAAAAAAAGAAAGATTGTAAATATATGTAATTATAAACCCTCATTCCATTCCAGTTCAGTTCTATCATTAATAATCATTAAAACCATAACATCTTTAACCCTTTTCAATTAAATATCATACTTCCTTAAAAACACATATAATCTCCATAATTAATTTTTCCCTTATTTCTCTTCACGTGTTTTATAAATCATTAAATATACCTTTTGTTACACTTATTTATTGACAAGCATTCCACTGAATTATGATAGCTATTTTATCAGACATTTTAATCATATATTGTTTCATATTTTCTAAAATTATTTCTGCTTCTAATATAACCATACTATCTTATGTACTTTTGCAAAATCCCTTTTTCCATTAAGTTTTCACCCATTATCTCTAAATAGACCCTGTTTCTCTATATTTTGCTTCTGTCCTTTATAACTTCTTTTCCTTTCTTTCTTCCCTCTCATCTTCTCCCTCCCCTTTTTACCCCCTTGTCTCTCTAGTTCTAATTCTCTCTTCTGCATTTCCCTCTTCTGTTGCTTTCTGATTTTATACTTATTTTTCATTCTATCTTTTTGTTGTTTTTCCCAATCTTAAACTTTCCATTCTCTTTCTCCCCTTTCCTTTTTCCCCCCATCTAAGATTACTTGTTCATTAAAGATGGCTTCTTCTTTGTCGCAATCTTCTTGTTCTGCAGGCATTTCTTGTTGTTTCTCATAATTCCAAATCTCCATTTCTAAAAACTGAAATACGAAGCCAAAAGAACCTCTCCCTTCTTGTGCATCTTCTTTGTACTTTTTAAGTTCCATTTTCAGTTCTTCTAAAAGTGGAGCCATTTTAAAAAGTTTTAAACAACCACCCGATTGATTTTAGTCATTCAAAACAATAACCAAGAATCCAGAAATCATCAAGTAATCCTGATAGTCCTGAGTTATATCTTCTTATTTCTTTTTCGATTTTCCTTATTCACCTTGTGGCTCAAATACAGGTAGACCTCAAGTTGTAACAGCACTGAGAAAAGTGGCTTGTGACGTGTTCTTCACACTTACCCCCATCGCAGCATCCCCATGGTCACGAGATCAACGTTCAGATGCTTGGCAACTGACAACGTATTTATGACGGGTTACAATATCCCGGGGTGACGTGATCGCCTTTTGCAACCACCTGACAAGTAAAGCTAACGGGGAAGCCAGGTTCACTTTAACAATCATGAGAGCCACTTCACAACTGCAGTGATTCATTTAACCATCGTGGAAAGAAAGGTCGAAAAATGGGGCAAAATTCACTTAACGACAGAAACTCTGGGCCCAACTGCGGTCATACGTCAAGGCCGCCAGGAGGAGAATCCTCGTCCAAGGACTCTATCTCTATATATCTTTTTGCACTGAATTTTAACGGTCAGCAGGAGCCAAGGGGAAAGGAATCTAAAAACCAGCTCTGGTTTCTCTACAGGATCCCAGGCAAGGAAGGCAGGGGTGGCCCGTTCCTCCTAGTCCCTCTCCCCATAGGAGATCCATGTCACTGTTCTCAAGGGGAAGAGGCCAGAGGGTGGCTGCTATACAGCCCTCAGCCTGGGAGACAAGAGGCGCCGGGCAGGGAGATAGGTAGCATATAAGGTTAATAAATAAAATACAAATGATTTATTCTTGGCAGCTTTGTATTATTACACTTCTTAATTTTACTTTTAATTTTCCTTGCTGGCCGGAGCAAGAGTTAGGTGGTGATAAGAAAGCGGGAAGGGGAAGGGGAGGGAGGGAGGAAGGAAAAGAAAGGGAAGAAAGAGAGAGAGAGAGAGAGAGAAAGAGGGGGAAAGGAAGGAAGGAAGGAAAAGAAAGAAAGAGAAGAACAATATGTTCTATACACGAGCATCTTTCAAAGGAAAGATGTCTTATTTTACCACAGGCTGCCATTCTCTACACTACCTTCCGGGTGCGGCTATTGGCAACGGGGAACTCGCTGAGGCTGTCTTCGTCGGTACGAGGGTCAGGCAAGCTGCGTTTCTCAAGGGGGTCTGTCCTTAAGAGGGCCTCCAAACTGCTGCCATCTTGAGAGATTAAGCCTTCTTTCTTTAGGGCCTGCTCAGTGTCTGCCAAAAACAGAGATTTCATTGTCTTAATGCCATTAAGACAAAGAATCCAAACTACCAATAAAGGAGAATATTGGTAACTTAGGGTTGAAATGAAGGGTCCTTGGTGTTCCTTGGAAGAAAACAACCAAGCTCAGAGAGCACCAAGGACCCCATAGTCCTCTCCTCCTCTCCCTCCCTCCCAGCACTGACGATATTCTCTAGTTGGGTCATGAAATGTCTGCAAGAAAACCACCAAGCTCAGAGAGCACCAAGGACCTCTCAATCTAAACTTCCATTACCTTGGCCAAATGACCTAAGAAAAGTTTGACAGGCACCACAGGCCAATGCAGAAATCTATTAGGTCCTAACACAAGAATGACATGCTCTCTTCTGTCACCTGTAATGTTGGATCTGCACAGAATTCTTACTTGCAACCTGACATTTTTTAAACGTCTGGCTGTCCTGTTGGTCCATTCGTATACAAGTAACAGGATATAAAGGTACTTTTCTGTGGCTGATTTAGAACTACAGAGTTCTCAGGTAGTGTAAGGTAGCCCAACTACCTGTCCAGGTTACCCCGGAATTTGCCTGGACAATTACAAATTCTGTAATGTACGCCTGAACGATCACTTCGGCCAGGTGAAAACTCTTGTTATGATTCCATCTGTAATGATAGAAATTTAAAAACTTTATACAATACAGACAAGGCAAACCTGGTTTAATGGTAGGGAAAGAAAGACTTGGATCCTCTGGAGGATGGGAACGGCGTTTTTTCCGCCAGCGTCGAGCCGGGTAAGAATAGAGCTGGCCAGACGCCAAACCTTCCAACAATAGAAAAAGAGGAAATCAAAGTCTGCTTAGTTAGTCAATTTATATATAAAATTGGGGAGAAAGCATATATATATGCGTGTGTGTGTGTGCGTGCGTGTGTGTGTGTGTGAAAAACTTATAAAGTTAGGCAAACTTTATGGCAAACTCTTCCTGTTTGGAGTACTGAACACTTCCGGCAGCTCTCTTTGCAGCAAACATTAAGCTGCCCAGAGTTGCCTGATAGCTAGATGGGCAGAATATAAATTTAATAAATAACATTAAAAATATAGCATTTTTAATCTACAGCAGCACTAATTCAGGCTGAATGAGGCAGGAAAGCTGCTGTCTGAACTTGACATCGCGGAATTGATATCCCAGGTAGAGCCCAGGTTTTTGTAGGCCATCCTGATGCCCCACCTGGTCCCCTGTGCCGCTTCTCCATCCAAATATAGCAGTTACTCTGCGCCACCCCAGTCTGCGAATCCAGGAATGGTAATCGGACACTCCTTTCGGCACACAGCCGGGCGTTGTAATTGTGGCACTGCTCCATGGCATCCTTGTAATATTGTTCACCAAGGCTAGGACAAAAGATTGGGAGGGACACAGTTAATGAAATGTCTGTCTATAGTATGAGAATGTGCGGGGGGGGGGGGGATGTTTTAATATAAAGGGACATGTTGGAAGTAAAATTCAGCAAAACAATTTTTTGACTTCATTTCGACATAATTACAACTCAGTTGAATATGGCTGGCCACAACCCTTCTGTAATTTTCTTCCACATTGAAAAGTACAAACCAGCCCCAGCTTTTGGGAGAATCTGCATTCATCTTTAGGGACTCTGATTGTGTATCCCTGCCTGAATTACATCTTTGGGAGGCCCTGAATGCGTTTGTACATAACATAAAGCTATTTTTTTAAAAGCATGATTTATTGTTGAAGCTATAAAATCTTGATTCACTCATCATACTTGACTGTAAGTGTATTGCATTATTGTTAGTCTGATGATGAATCTGTCTCCATTTAATCCAGGAAACTATAGATGGATGATCTCACTTCCTAAGTATTACAAGAAATCACCCCTAGCAGGATAGATCTTTTGACAGATTGCAAATATTGTATTTCATTCACACAGCTGGTCCTTTGCAGATATTGTCATAATTAAATAGGAAGAGGCTGGTTTGAAATTCAAATTATAAGCTTGGATTTAAGCTTTTCTTTTTTTCAGAACAAAAAAAAAAAACACCCGTGGAGCTGGTATTGTATACTACAGCTGTCTTTCAATCTAGTAAATTCATTGAAGAAAGAAAATGGCCAATTCTATTCAATAAATCCATTAGCAAAGAGGCTTATGATGGAAACTTCTAAGAGAAAAGAATGCAGAAATATCTAAGAATACACAGCTTGCATTTTTCCCTTGTTCTTTAAAAATCTGTGGTGCAGCAGCAATGAGGTCTCTCTAATTGAACAGTCCATAATTATAGTAATTTCAATGTTTAAACCTTGCCACACACTAAAAAAGCTGAAGGAGGCTACAGAAAACAATGCAACTTGCTTGAAAGAAAGTAACGTTACAACTTTGCTGTCTGGGGAGGAAACCAAAGAGAGGGACAGAAAATTAAATAGTTAAATCAGAATCCCATTAGGTTTACAGTGTTTTACATTCAATCTTGGTCATCAACTATCAACTGAAACAGCTTAAAGAAAAAAAAAACCACACAAAAAAATGACCTTTGCTCAGTTAGAACCTAAATTTCCTCAATAAATAGCATGGTTCTGTTCAGAAATTTGGGATAAAATACAAACCTCCTGGTTTAACCATCTCTACTGCAATTCTTCACCACATTCAGAAATACCTGAGGACTGTTTTTACAATTCTGCCCAAACCTTCACTAAGTCTAGGATTCTGCCAATTTTGGTACCTCTCCTTTCTAAAGCCAAAGTGCACCTAATGCATCCTTTCAAAAGAATCAACACATCTTTCTATGGGGAAATTGCTGCCCTCCAACTCTGTCCCTCTATCTCCTTCCGTATGATAAGTTTTTATTTTTCTCAAATATTTCCAGTCTACCTTTCTGTTTCATGGGTTAAGAGTTTTTCTATATCCTGCCTTTCTCATTCCAAACAAATTCCTATAAAAAGCAGTGGGTGGGATGTTATGATAGTTTGCCTCACACAGAAAGTATACAGCAACCCCAATCATCCAATTTGGTCTTTGAAGATGGAATATCAATGCATTATATGTAATTCTCTTTTCTTTCCCTAATCAAGTCAGGAACATTTGAGGGATGTGGGAAGATTGAGAAAGCTGTACACAACACAACCTGCAACTTCATAACACTTTTTCATTGGAAATAAGTTCCCCCAAATCAACTTTAAACTGAAATTTCAAATGGAAAGGTTGAGCTTGTAAATTTGTACCATTTTATTTTTAAGACAGCTACTCTCATCTCTCTTTCCACCATTATTTTGAGTGGCTGTACAAGTTGCAACTACAGGTAGCCCTCGACTTACAACAATTCATTTAGTGACCATTGTTAAGTTACAACAGCCCTGAAAAAAGTAACTTATGAACATTTTTCACACTTACAACCGTTGCATCATCCCCGTAGACACGTGGTCAAAATTCAGATGCTTGGCAACTGATTCATATTTATGACAGTTGCAGTGTCCCCTTGGGGGGTCACGCGATCCCCTTTTGCGACCTTCTAACAAGCAAAGACAATGGGGAAGCCGGATTCACTTAACAACTGTTACTAATTACCAACTGCAGTGATTCATTTAACGACTGTGTCAAGAAAGGTCATAAAATGGGGAAAAATTCAATTAAAATCTGTCTCACTTAGCAACGGGCTCCATTGGTGGTCGTAAGTCGAGGACTACCTGTACTAAAAACCCCAATAATTTTTTTTTTTAATTTCCTTTTCACCCATACCAAGAGACTCTCCTTTTTCCAAAGGCTGTGCTTTGTCTTCCTCTAAAACTATAGATGCTTTAAAGAACAGGGGGGAAAAAAACCCAGGAAAACTTTTATTTTCTGATTTTGTGGGGTGCCTAGAAAAGTTTCCATTAAGGATTTTGACCATGGGGGGGGGGAGTTTATTTTCTCCAAAAAGAAGCCCCAAATTTGATTATTTCCACCCATTATTCTGGTGAAGTTTGCCAGGAAGACAGATAGGTAGCAAGGGCAGGTTTAGGATGATGGGAGTTATGGTCCAACCTAACAGGTTGGGGAACAGGCTCCCCAAATCCTAATATCTCAATTTTCCCCTTTTTTTCTCTCTTTTCCTCCCACGCACCCCCAGTTTTCCTCTCAGAAACCTACTCCTTAAACGCTTTATATAAGTATTAATAAAGGGGATTTTTTTTCTCGCCTCCACAAGTTCCTCTCACCATCTACTGTAGGTCATCCAAGCCTCTTTTTTTGGGGGGGGGGGAATTTACCTGAGCCTCCTCGGAGCTTCATAATTGTTTTTTTTTTTAAAGGTTCCGACCTCCTTTTGAAAAGCTACTCCCCATCTTAAAAGGCATCTTGTGGTGGCCGGACGGTCTTTTTTTACCTCACGTACTTCACTTTTGAAACTTTAAGGTGGGGGGACACTTGCTTTCTTGCCCCCCCCCCCACAAACATACACACATATACACACAGACTCCGTCCGCTTTTTAAAACCCACTTTTTAAAGATATCACTTCAGTCCTAAGCAATGAGCAGAGGAGAAAAAAAGAGATTCAATAGCTAACCCCTCTCCTTCCATTATCCCGTCAGGAACACCCCCGCGGGCGGAATGGACTCTTCCCCCAACCAACCGTCCTGCGCGCACTTCGTCTAAGGTTCGGGTTGTACCACTGCAAGCAAAAGGGAGGAAATGGGGGAGGAAGAGGGACAGTTCCACTCACAGCTTCACCACATTCTGTACCACCGCCGCCATCTTCCCTTCTGCCGCCTGTGGCCGCAAAGCACGCGAGAGCGCATGCGCTGAGTTCCCGTTCGAGCTGACTCCGGCGACCGCTCTCCATGAAACCTTCCGATCAGGTTCGAAGAAGGCGCATGCGTACTGGCCCCAACCCGTCCTCACGCTCCAGGAAAGAGAGGCAAAAAAAGAGCACGGCTCTTCCCACGGTGGGAGATGGCAGGCGCAAAGGACGCGCAGGCGCAAAGGAGTCCGTCTATAAAAATTCCATTCACCTGTGTTGCGCATGCGGCATGTCTGCAATCGAGGGCGCATGCGTGAAAAGTTTTGGGAAATAGAGAATTAAATTTTTGATTTAATATTTTGTAGTATTTAGAGAAACAATAAAAAATAGCCCTCTACTGCCCTTACATATATCTGCCTAGAAAAAAAATAACTAGGCATTTCAAATGGTTTTCTTTTGCAAATACATATTTATAAATAGGTGTAACTCTAAACAAACATATTTATTACTTACATTTAATTGTGAGCTTACAACTACAATTGGGACCAGAATTTCCGTTACTAAACGAGATTTTTGAGTGAACTGCACCCAATTTTATGATTTTTTTGCCATGGTTGCTAAGTGAATCACTGCAGTCGTTAAGTGAATCATGAAGTTGTTAAGTGAATCCAGTTCCCCCCACACAATTGATTTTACTTTTCAGAAGTGGCTAGGAAGATCACAAGTGACCCTAGGACACTATAACCGTAATAAATGCAAGCGCCTGTATTTTAGACCACGTGTCTGTAGGGAGGCTGCGATGGTCGTAAGTATGAGGACTTGTTGCAAGTCCCTTTTTTAATCCCGTTGTAACTTTGAACGGTTTCTAAATGAATGATTGCAGGTCAAGGACTACCTGTATGCAAATATACATGCATACATACTTATGTTGCAGAATTAGGATCAAACATACCACTGGTTAAAGTTATAGTAGTCTTAAAAGAGAAAATACAGATAGCCACGGTAGCCACCATTTGCACTAAGCAAGCCGCAGGTTTCCACCACCAGCAAGACCAATGCTAGTTACGTATGGCTGGCAGTGATGGGAGTTGTAGTCCAAGAATTGGGACGATACGATAGCAGTATTCCAGGACAGGGATGCTGCAGTGGTCATAAGTGTGAAAACTGGTCCTATAAGGCACTTTTTTCAGTGCTATTGGAACTTTGGTGACTAAACGAACTGTTGGAAGAGACAGGCAAGATGGTGGCACAATGCCATATTCAATTGATTTGTCTATATTTCCTTCTTTTTTTCCAAATCGGTCTCACCGGCAGTTTTTTTAGCCCAGGACAATTGCACTTCTATGCATCTTGAACTGTTTGTTCCCGTTGCTGTTTGGCTGCTGGCAGGAGGCAGGGAGGCGATTAAATTGCATTTTTACTGCTTTAAGTGGCACTTTCCGCCTCTAAAGCTGGAAAGAACGTTTGGAGCCGGAAGGTGGCAGGCAATTGTCAAAATAAATCCAGTGACCTGCTATAATTATGGTAAGCAGAGTTGTGTGAATTTGTCAGCAGTTCTCAAAGGGCAGATTGAGGTTGCCCGGGGGTCTCCGAGACCCTTTAACAGTTTTAACAGATGAACAAAATTGGAAGGGACCTTGTAGGTCATCTAGTCCAACCTCCTACCCAAAGCAGGAGACCCTAAATCATTTCACTGAACTTTCAGCCAAAAAACCAATAACATATTTTAACATTGCTCATTTTTTGATTTCCAACACAGTGCCTATTACAGGTAGTCTCAACTTACAACAATGGAGCCCAAAATTACTCAAAATGTATATGTGATATGTAGTATTTAGGTGATAATTAAAAATGATTATATTATGGTAATTTTTAATATGAGTTAAAGGGGTGTCAACTGAAGGTTGTGTAAGATAAAAAGGTGATGCACTCAAGACGTGTAATTAAGGGGAAAATCTTTGGAATTATTAACATTAAGATGGAATTTATTGAATAATGAAATAAGAATATGTGATGAAATGGCAAATATGACAGATAAAAGTATAAGAATATAGTGAATACAGAATAAGAAATAAAGAATTTTAAGATATTATATAAAGATGAGTATAATTAAAGAAAAATAGAATAAGTTATGTGAATTAAAATTGGATAAAAGCAAAAAATATAAGAATATTTTTGAAAATTTATAGAAAATGGAAAATGCAATGATATGATAAGAAACTGAATATGTGAAATAACTATGTAATTATGGTCATGGTTTTATGGAAATGTAAAAACCTGCAATCACACTGTTCACTAAAAGAGATATAAAAGATGAAAAATAAAAAACATTTTTGCAAGAAAAAAATGGAGCCCAAAATTATTCTCGCCAAGCCAGACAGCTGATAAGTGAGCTTTGCCCCATTTTACAACCATTTTTTTGCCACCGTTGTTAAAGGAATCGCTGCAGTTCAGTAACCCAGTTGTTAAGTGAATCGGGCTTCTCCATCGACTTTATCAGATGGTCACAAAAGGGGATCATGTGAGCCTGGGAAAATTCTGGCCTCGGTTGTGGTTTTATTGGTCAGATGACTGTTTCTCTCTCCCCAAAACTCTATTATAAACAAATCGTGTATCGCTAAAGGGTTTGTGTAGATTTGCATCATTTTTTAAAATTTAGAAGAGGTTTTTACCCCTTTAAACATGCAGTTAAAACGTTCCTGTGTTTTAAATGCAGGGAAAGGAAACGGGCTGCATAATTTAGTTCTGGAAATTGCCTTTTGACCATACATTGGATTAAAATCAACATTCCTTTGGTATCCCTTTAGGAATTCTGTGCATATCGTATGTTTTCGTGGACCAGCTGCTTCAAGACACTTTCTTGGCATACGTAGCAGAAAAGAGGAGGAGGGGAAAGGAAATAAATTCCTTTTTTTTTCTACGTTAATAATTCATTCTGTTTGCTTGTGAGGGACTTTTTAAGAGCCATTGTCTTTGGGAAAATAAATATTAGGGACTGGTTTGGAAGGATGTTATTTTCTTCCCTAGAAAATCCCTGGGGGGAAAAATATTGTTTCTAAGGTGTTTCTAAAGTTTGTACGAAATCATCTATAGGTAGTCCTCGGCTTAGTGACAGTTCAAAGTTACAATGGTGCAGAAAAAAGTGATCTATGACCGTTTTTCATGCTTACAACCATTGCCACATTCCCCCATGGGCACATGACCGAAATTTGGACACTTATCTTAATAAACAGCGAGGATTAGAATGGTCAAAATGTGTTTTAACATTTTTCTATACATAAATTTATTTCATTTATTTATTTTAAATTTATTTAATTATGTAGATATATTTTTCTGCCTCCAGAAGCGGTCTGAAGTGGTGCAGGGTTTCCTGCCTAAGCAGGGGGTTGGACTAGATGACCTCCAAGGTCCCTTCCAACTCCTATTCTATTCTATTCCATTCCTTCCATATTCCATTCCTTCCATATTCTATTCTATTCTATTTTTATTCTATTTAAACCAAAGCAATAGATGCTGTTGGGCCCTTCAGCCCAAAATCACTCATTGTTCTACCCCGAAAAATCATCACTGCAAAACAAAAACACCCAACATTGGCACAGCTCTTTTTAACACATTTTAATTTATGCTTTTATTAACTTTTTACAATGTCTGTTAGTGCTTAATGGAGTAGAATGGCAGGATATATAAATCAAATTAAAAATGGTGGCAAACTGTTTTATAAATCAGTAGCTATCTTTTTATAGCTATTAGAATAGTCAACATTCCTAAAGTTGAACCTAAACTTAGATATGTACACATTAAGCTAAGCCAGACTTTTAGCTATTGTTTATTGAAAAGAAAACCATGCCATAAACCAAGATTTTCAACCTACAACGATTGGGGTTCACACAGACTATGCTAAATTCAAACACTTGTGCCTTAACCAGAGGTTGGGCTAGATCCGTGTTGCTTAAACCTGGACATTTTCAGGTGTGTGGACTTCATCTCCCAGAATTCTGCTGGCTGGGGAACTCTTGAGAGATGAAGTCCAGCTGGAGAATTCTGGTAATTGAAGTCCATGCAGCTTGAAAGTTGCCAACTTTGAGACAGACTGGACTAGATGGTCTCCAAGGCCCCTTCCACCCTTTAAATATGATATGATGGCTTAGTGTGCTGTGTAAATACGTGAAATGAAGGGTTGTGCATGCGTTGCAGAAAAGGAAAAAGGACTCTCTAAAGAACTGAGGGATAACAGTAATTGTGGAATCACTTCCCTTTTTATATGCCCAGTTTGCACACCATATACTCGGCAACCTGCAAAATTGTAAACTGATGAAAATATTATAAAAGACAAATTTACAGTTCAGCAAACCAACTCAGCAATGCCTTTAAGCAACTTCTCTTTCTTGGAAAAATTGGGAGGCAGACACGGTTTCTTTGCTGGGGCCATTTTGGCATCTAACACGCCTGTTGTTTTTTTCCGTCAACCAAACGCTGCCCTGACAATTTTCCTAGGATTTGCAAATATATATATATATATATATATATATATATTTTGAAAGGCAGA